GATCCCAGGACCCTGGGATCATGACCTGAGCTGAAGGCAGACGCTTAACGACTGAGCCACCCAGGCGCCCCTGTACTTTGAAATATTTTAAACCTACTGAAAATCGGAAGGAGTAGCACAATTAATACCCTCATGTTTTTCCCCTAGATTTACCAGTTGCTAATAATTACCACACTGGCTATTCGTTCTCGTCCCGTCCCCACCCTCCCCTCTTTATCTCTTTTTTGTTGAAATCCTCTCAAAGTAAGTTGTACGCATCGTGACACTTCACTTCTAAATATACGAGCGCTGGAGCTAGATGGGACTTTTTCCTACCTGCCAGTACTGTTAGCACAAGAAGACACAATACTTCTACGATAATGACATCTGATACACGGTACAGAGTCCATATTCAAGAGTTTCCTGGTAATTACTGTCCTAGGAATGTCCTTCATAGCTGTGTGCTCGTGAATAATGTGATGGAGGAGCCACGTGGTTTTTCAACAAAAATATTATTTTATTGTTGCTTCCTAATGTGGCTGCACTGTGTCCAGAGGAACATGACCCATATAATGTTAGTTCTTTGGACTTTGTTGACAGTTGCTTTGTGACTCTAGTGCATGGCCATTTTTTATATCAAGCTTGTTAATTCAGTTCAGATCTTCTATGGCCTTACTCATTTTTCCCCTTGATACTTCATTTTATGGTGGAGGTACTGGTTCGGTTGATTTCTCCTTGAAATCATCAGTTATGCTTCATATGTGTCAAAGCGATCATAAAAGATACATTGTGACACTTAGAAAAAAAGACAAAACTTCCAAAGGAGTAGGAAAAGCCAGTCTCTAATAGTTGAAATGAACAGTTACAGAAAACTCTCAAACTTGACATTTTCTCAAGGAAGCTAAAGTACAGTATGTGGCAGTTTTCTATGCTTTTGGAAGAATATAAATAAAAATAAATACACATTTTAAGCAAAATATATCATCTGGACATTTTAAAGATTGGTAAGGCATCCTGAATAGACTGCGTTTGAGAAGATGTAGGCCCATATTGCTCTGTGGTGAATTTCTTTTTTTTTTTTAAAGATTTTATTTTATTTATTTATTTATTTGACAGAGAGATAGAGAGAGAGCACAAGTAGGCAGAGAGGCAGGCAGAGGGAGAGGGAGAAGCAGACTCTCCACCGAGCAGGGAGCCCAACGTGGGGCTCGATCCCAGGACCCTGGGATCATGACCCAAGCCGAAGGCAGCCGCCCAACCGACTGAGCCACCCAGGCGCCCTGCTCTGTGGTGAATTTCTAAATCACCCCCATAGAGGTGGGCCTTGACTAGCTGATGTCTTGAGGCCTTGTTAATGCTGTTAGTAGTTCGACGTGGAGAGGATCTTCTTAGAAGACATGTTCAAGTGATTAGTAATAACTTTGATTTGCTTGATTAGTGATTTGTTCTGCTTCCTTAAATTTCTGAAAATATTGACCTTGGTTTTATTCTGGATCTTGGGGTTACATGTTAATGCCAATGCTGATGAGACTGCCTTAAGCACCTTTCACTTTATATCCCACTCCCCCTGGCTTTTTTCTTCTCCCTACGTGGGGACCACTGGGATTTCTGGACACAGACTGAGCTGTGTGGGTGAGGGAATGTGCACGCTCTGTGTGCACGGTGAGAGTTTGCTGTGTGGGTGATTCCCACATGTGGCTGGGAACCTTCTTGAGCTGCGTAGTCCTCCTGAATGACAGTCCTCGGGGATGGGGCTTTGGAACCTGTAGCTGATTGTGATGCAGCCGAAGTATACCCACAGTCTCTGAGGACCGATGACCATACAGCAAGAATGAGGCCCACATGGGCATACAGCGAGAGTGAGCCGTTCCTATCTGGGTGGTGGTTTTAGACCAAGGAGGTTCTGAGGCTGTTGACCAAATTGCCTTTTTTCCATTGTCCTCCTCAAAGTTTCTGAGGTTAATAAAAAGTCCCAGGATATTTCCACCTTGGGTCTTTTGAGCCATCCTGGAGTAGACCTGATTTCTGAGAAAATACCATGTGTTTGAGGCTTTGTAACCAGACTAGGATTGGTGAATAGTTTCTTCCTCAGCACCTTTGTAATCTTCTGGGAAGCATAGGCTTGTTTTGCTTTCGATAAGTCACTTATTTCATGAAAATATAAGCAAAGCTAACTTCTTGCCAACACTTTGCAGTTGGTTGGTTAACAATGTTCTCCACATAGCTGGCCAAGAAGAATGGAGGGAAAGTATGGTTCTTGTGAAATTTCCCTTTATAACTTGTCATGGACTCTTCACACTTGTGTTTCCTGGAAGACAGTTTTAATTTTGTTCCATTGACTGGTGAACATTATCAAAAACAAATATTTAGCGATTGCCTTCTGGGTACAAGCTGAGAGCCACCATTGATGGGGTGGGGTATATACCGTGTATGGTGCTCCTCTGTTGTGTTATCCGAGCACTTAGAATATGGACCAGATTGTATGGTGGCCCCTTGCATACTTGGGGGAAGGAAAGCAAAGATCTTGAGTCAACAAGTTGGTGACTACCACCAGCCACAGCACCCATTTTTCCCCATTGTATGTGTGCCTGATCCGTGGGGACGCTGACATGGGACTTGGGGTGTGGGCAGAGTGGAGCAGCCTCTTGTTGCTCACAGCCAAGTGAGGTTATCTTGAGAACCTCAGGTCACTGCCAGTACCTGAGTGCGGAACATTAACTCTGGGGACGTGGTTGCTGCCCATGTCCTCTGAACACCCCAGAGGACAATAAATAGGGGGTTCAGAGAAGGAAGGGGCCACTGTCAGCTCTCTTGACTTACAGGCTAAGGGAGAGGGGCAGGGTCTTCTAGACTTGGGGGGGAGGTGGGGACACTGGAGAAGGAAGAATGGGGAGGCCGGGCAAGCAGATTTGTTGGCATTAGGGACGCCCCAGGGCGGCAATGGAGACAGAGTGCAAAAGTCGTAAGAAGCCAGACTGTGGACCCTGGTGAGTCCTGAATTTTAGGCCCAGGTGGTAAAATGTTACACATGTAGTTTGGTCTCCTCCTACCCAGATCTCCTGAGAAATGAGAGTGAATGTCAGCCTGTCATTTGGGACTTCATAATGTATTAGGCCTAACCACTATATTCATTTAGTGTTTTATATTACATAAAAATTGATATTGGTTGGAGTAGCTAGAAATACTATATTGGCAGGCCAAGGACATTTATTGTTATGCCTTAACACGAATCATTTACACAGATGTTTGATATAGATACCACATGATAGGAGATAAAAGTCCAAATGATAAAATAGCCCATAATTATTCTCTGGAAATAAAATAATCCAATCCTCTGAGGGTTAGAAAATGCTCGCTTCACTTTCATGGCCTGTTTATTGACTTGAGGTTCAACTTGGCACAGTCTCTGGGAGCGATCTTAATTCTCAGAGGAAGAGATGATTTGACACCCAAAGAGATGGTATCTTCAGCCAGTGTCTGTACATACTGGTTGTTGGTATGCTGGCTGAGAAGTCTTCCTTGCTGTTCAGAGCTAGAGGAGAACAGAACACTTGGGTGTTTGGCTGTTACGCAGTCAAATCCCTCCTGAGCAGAAGTGGTGGTGTGTTTGTGCTGTTGTTTCCGAGTGTAGTTCCTTCCCAGCCCAGGCACCACGAGTAGACTGGTCTGTATGGTCTCATTCCCTCTGCTGCCCTGAGCTGGCTTGTGCCTGGGGCTGATGAAGGCAAATATTTTTACTAAGCTAGAGGGAGAACTACTTTTATTCAGCAGAGCAAATTTGAGAAAGAAGCTCAATCCTGGTGTTCTTAGAAGATGTTAGATTTGATTCTTGGCAAATTATCTTTTTGAACAGGTAATATATTTACATGGATCTAAAATATAAAATGGTATGCAATGAAAAATCTCCTTTATTTCCCTGTGCTCTAGCTGTCCATCCCCCACACGCATATATATGAAGCCAGGTTTTCATGTTTTTATATCATTCTTACAACTACAAACAAACAGGGCTGTGTAGTTTTGCGACCCCCTCACACAGGCACATTGTATAGCCCGGTCAGTGCTCCTTAAAGAGCTCTCCTCTATTGCCAGTCTTCCAATAAAGAAACAAAGCATGTTTAATAAAGTTGTGCTGATTAATTTTATAGAAAGTGCTGCTTTGGACTGATGGGGAAACAGATCTACTTGGAATTGAATACCAAAAATAATAGTATTAGTATAGTTTCTGATGAAGGTTTGTGATGATTTTAATGAACCTGGATGTATTAAGGCTACTCTGCCTCTTAGAAATGGAAATTAAAAAAAAAAAAAAACCTCCCAGTGGGTGTGTCTTTGTCCCAGTATGAGAACTCTTTGTGTGTCCTTTTGGCCTGGATCATTTTCAGTCCCTGGCTCCCTTTTTTTCTCTCTCTCACTCCCCTACTCCTTTCTTAAGTCTCCTAGAGCTGGAGCAGTCACTTTCTTCCTGTTTCTTTTATGAGCAGACAGACTGTTGACACTTTTTACCACATGGGCCTTTGAAGTTCTTCAAGTTTTGCTCTCCACTCAGAACTTAGTTCTCTAACGGACACTGTGCTGCTTCAGTGGGGTTAGTTTAAGTGTAGTGAGAATATGAGGACAATTGGACAACTTGGACTTCATCTCCATAATAATGTAATTTGGGGTGTTGAAATCATGGAGCACTGAACATGTTTTTAAAAGATCCACATTGAATTAAATGTTTCTCTCCCTTGGAATTCCCCCCCCGCCCCCCAAAAAAGACAAAAGTATTACAGCCTCGTCCTTGGTCTTTGTCCCCATTTGTTCCAGATCAGGTAGTAAAAAAAAAAGTCCTCGGGTTCTTTAGTGACTTAAGCTGTAAGTGTACAGAGAATGATGACCAGTATTTGGGATGACAAGATGCGATGAGACTATATTAACTTTCTCTTTTCTGAAATCTGTTTCAGCAACTTTACCAGATCCTGACAGATTTTGATATCCGGTTTTATATGTATGAGCTACTTAAGGTAAGTGGCATTCATAAGCAGTGAATTTTTTCAGGTGTATTTGTTAAAGAAGTTTTTGAGAGGATGAAGGGAACTCAGGCACTCTTGATACTTAGAGAATTTAGTGAGATTTTTGTTTTGTTTTGTTTTCGTTTTTGTTTTTAATTTTTTTTTAAAGTAGGCTCCATGCCCATCATGGGCTTAAAATCAAGACCCTGAGATCTAGAGTCACATCATCTACTGACTGAGCCAGCCAGGCGCCCCAAGGCGTTTTTTTTTGTTTTGTTTTCTTTTTAACTTACATTGAGATCTCTTATGGGATCTTTACATAGAAACTTTCCAGTGGAACTGAGAAAGATGGCCAAGTCAAGAGATACCAGGAACATTATGTGAGAAATCAGAGGCTCCTCTCATAGCTCTTGTTGGCCCTTGGGTTTTCTTTTTGCTGCTTAATTAATACTATTAGTTTTCACTGTATAACACATCACCCAGAACTTAACAGTTTTTCAAAAAATTATTCATTATTTCTCCAAATTTTGTGGGTGAGTCTTTTTTCTGGGTCAACTTGACTGGGGCACATTGGTCCAGGATGGCCTCATTCACATATCTGGGATGGCAGCTGGAATACCTGAAGGCTCGTTCTGCAGGGGGTTAGTCTAAGTTGCTTCTTCCCATGGTGGTCTTAGGGTTCCTAGTAGCACGAGAGGGCAAAGTTTGATGTGTAAGCGCTTTTCAATTCTCTGCTTGTATCATTGTCTCCTAATGCCCTGTTGGCCAAAGCAAATCCTGGCCAAGCCTAGATTCAAGGAAGGGGGAAGTAGACTTCACCTTTTGATGGGCAGAGCATTAAAATCACAGTGTGGAGGGACATGCCTACTGGGAGGGCAAGAATTTGTGGCCATCTTTCTCTCGCCATCACTCAGAATCCCCTTACCAGTCTACCCTCCAGCCCTGACTGACCTGGACACGAAGGGAGAGGTGATGGGTGGTCCTTCTAGCAGACTTAGTAATCTCCTTAGGTGGAAATTTTGAAGCATTACTGGTTGATGGAGGAATGATCTTTTTTAGTTTGTCTAGGGAAACAGTTAAAGAATTCTAAAATGGCTTGTAAAATGGAATAGACTAATGGCTCCTAATTTGTTTTGAGTCGTGGATCACTAGGAATCTAATGAGAACATATAAACTCCCCCCACCAAATGCCTGTATAAATATATGGTATTACATAAAGTATTATGGGGGGTGTGGCTCTCAATTTAAGAACCTCTGAAAGATAGACATGACTAAGTTATTGGCATTATTGAAGAAGATTGCCAAGATGGAGTTTTGATGGGATTGTGAACAGTTACTTGAACAAAATCCCAAGTTTAATTAAGGCTAAGCTTTAGGGAATGGGGGTTTGAAGAACTAGCTCTGTGAGGTAAATGTATTTTCTTAGAAGTGCTTATACAAACCACTTGTCATTAGTACCAAGGTGGCGGATTTAAGAGTCCACTCTTACAACTAATGGGTCTTTCCTTTGTCAATAAGATCAGAAACATGTGAAGGTAAAGCTTGGTTCATCACACCTTTCTGCATGTCCTCTCCAGACCAGAATGGAAGGCATCAGTGGGGAAGGGGTTTGCAGTGCTGTGGTCTTACGAGCTGTCTGGCTAGCTCCTTCCCTGCGGGTGCTTTCCTGAGAACCCCCTGCATCCACCCAATGAGAGCCGCAATCCAAATCTCACAATTGGTTATTTTTTTTAAAGTAAGGTGTTAAGATTTTGTGGTTTTCACTTAGCACACCAAAAATGAAGATTGAGAACCTAGCACAGTTGTGCTTAGGTCAAGTGAAGACATCCCGATAATGCAGGTCTTCACAGGCTGGTCATTCAGACAGTGCTGCGTGTCTGATTACCCTTCTGCTTTTCAGAGGTAGCGGCTAGGCAGTAGGGACCTTCTTTCTGCTAATGAGGCACAGAACCCCAGAGGAAGCTTGAAAAATGTCTTTCATGCTTAACGGTCAGATAATACCAGATTTTGAAACTGAAATAACTCCCCTAAGGAATTTAAAAGCATGTCCGTGACTCCACAGGGAGTCCGACTAGTGAACTTGGCAAAAGAATCAATTCCTTTACTGTACTTGTTCAGCCTCTGCTCTCCTCAAGTGTTTCTCACATCCCAGGTATTATGGTCCTAATTAGTTAATTCCTTTGGGCAAAGACTAGGCAAAATAACAGAATCAACACTTGCTAAATTTCCTCTTTGTGGGGGGGAACAAAATGGGGATGAGGAAGAGGAAATCTGCTTCATGGAAAATGTAGAAGAAATTGAGACGAGGGCTATTGAGTGGTTCCTGGGTACACAGTGCGGTCTCCCGATTCAGATCTGGGGAGGTCTATCCCCAGGAGCCCTGGTTTCGTAAGGCACTGCCACAGAGCCATTGTGGAATCTTGCTACACCTGTTGTTGTGAAACAAAACAAGGACAAAAGTCAAATTGAAGTAGAACTTCCATAAATGAATAAATCTTTTTTTTTTTTTTAAAGATTTTATTTATTTGACAGAGAGAGACCCAGAGGGAGAGGGAACACAAGCAGGGGGAGTGGGAGAGGGAGAAGCAGGCTTCCTGCCCTGCCAAGCAGGAAGCCCGATGTGGGGCTCCATCCCAGGACCCTGGGATCATGACCTGAGCCAAAGGCAGACGCTTAATGACTGAGCCACCCAGGCGCCCCCATAAATGAATAAATCTTAAGTGTACAGGTTTTTGAGTTTTTACATAAGTGAAACCTTCACCGAGATTTATATATTGCTATGCTGCTGTCCAGTACAGTAGCTGTTGCCCACAGGTAGCTATTTAAATTTTAATTAAAATTTAAAATTCTGTTCCTTAATCACAGTAGCCACATTTCAAGTGTTCAAAGGCCTCACGTGGCTAGTGGCTACCACGTTAGATGGTGCAGATACAGAATATTCCTGTCATTGCAGAAAGTTCTGTTGGACAGGGCTGGTAGAGAATATTATGAATACCCCAGAAGGCTCTCATACGCCCCTTCTCTTCAGGATCCCCTTTTCTGAAGATATTCTTCTCACTCCTACCACCATAGTTTAGTTTTGGCTGTTTTTTAACCTTCATATATAAAGCATCATACACTGTCTACTTTTTTGTGTCTGGGGAAAGCAAAATTTGTTTATTCCTGGAATGCTGATCCTAGGGATCATTTCTGACCTAGTCCAGTGGTTCTCAACCAGGTCAATTTGGCAAAATCTGGAACCATTTTTGGTTGTCACAATTGGGGAAGAGTGCTACTGGCATCTGGTGGGAAGAGGCCAGGGATTCCTTTAAACATCCTGCAGTGTGCAGGACAGCTCCCCACAACAAAGAATTATCCAGAGTTCAAAATGTCCAAAATGTCAGCAGTGCCGAGGTGGAAAAACCTTATCTTGTCCTGTGGAAAACTCCCCTAAAAGCACTCCGTGCCAAGCACATAGTAGGAAGCACAAGATGATGGGTTGCTGTGATTATTATTACCTAAGGAGTAAATCATGGCACTCAGATAGGCTGCAGTGCTTTTTAAGACAAGCCAGAGGGTCTAATTTGAAACGTATGGGAATGGTTACTATGTTCAGAAAGGGAGAATTAGAAGCAAGTATTTGTATTATCTAAAACAAACCACCCAAAGAAAAAATGGTAAAAAAAAAAAAAAGGTAAAGATTTGAATCCATATTTGTCCAAAGAAGATACAGGATGATCACTAACACCCAAAAAGATGTCAATTTGATGACCCAGTTAGGAAATACAATTCAAATCCACAGTGAGGTCCCACTTCAGACCCACCAGAATGGCGGTAATCCCAAGGGTGAAACAGTTACAAGTTGTTGGCGAGAATGTAGCAAAACTGGAACCTTCCTGTGTGACTGCTGGGGATGTGAAATGGAGCAGGCACTTTGGAAAACAATTAGGCAGACTCTTAAAAAGTTTGATGTAAACTAACAGCTCAGCACTTCCACCCTCAAGAATCTCTGTAAGAGAAATGAAAGCCTGGGCCCTCTCAGAGACCTGTATGTAAATATTCATAAGCAGCGTTATTCATGATAGCCCCAAACTGGAAACAACCCAGATGTCCATCAACTAGTACAGCCCTACAGTGGAATACTACTCAGCAAGAAAAGGGGAACACAGATGAATCTCGGCAACATTATGCTGAGGGAAAGAATACTGTATATTGTATTATTTCATTTTATGAATGCCCAGAAAAGGGAGATCGGTAGTAACAGCAGGTTTGTGGTTACAGCTGAGGTAGGGGGCAAGGGGGGATGGGGATTGATCACAGGCAAGCTGAAGGGGAATTCTTGGGATGGTGGCAGAGTTCCAAGACTGGATTGTGGTGCTGGTCACACAACTCTGTGAATGTGCTGCTAAAAGAAATCATTGACTTGTACGCTTAAAATCTTATCTGCATATCATCTATCTTGTAGGAAGCAATATCTTCCCTTAGAGTAAAAATAGAATTCTTAAAGGCCCCTGGCTCAGGGGTTGTTTTTAAAAGAAAATACTAATACTAGAGTACTTGGTAATCTCGAAGGTCCACATGGGGGACTGGGCTAAAAGACAAGCCACGTTGAATGACACGTTGTGATGTCATTCTTCATCCCCACCAGGGACTGTTGCGTGCCATTTGAACCATGGTGAGAGGGACTCTAGTGAGTTTCCCAGATCTGGTTTTAAACCCATCGAGTTAGACCAACAGATTAATGTAGGATTTCTAAATCCAGGTGGCTGGTGAAGTGTTACCTACTAACACCTAAGTAGGAAGAATCTCCGTGTCCCCTTCCTAACATAGCCCCCTTTCCACCAGCTGCCAGCCTAGTGTGCACAGAGAGCAAGGGGGGCCTTCTGAAGCATGCCTGATCTCCTCTGTTACAGACAGTAAGCTGCCCCTTGGGAGACTGTATCCAAGTCAACCTGTCACAAATAATAGGAATATGCTTGCATTGGGGGTTGGTAGATGGTTTGCTTACTTTTCTGTGTGCTTTCTTATCTCATAGGCTCTGGATTACTGCCACAGCAAGGGAATCATGCACAGGGATGTGAAACCTCACAATGTCATGATAGATCACCAGCAGAAGAAGGTACCATTGCCGCCAGGAAGCAACAAGGCTTTCCGTGGGAAGCCTAGGGCAGACCACAACACTGGCCAGTACCTAGGTGGTACTGCAGACCCGTTGACTACTTTCTTCGGCAGACTTGTGTTACTGTTACCTCTTCAGTCTCCAGTGTTGCTTTCTACTTTGCATAAGCACGGTACACAAGGAAAGCAGACAGCTGAGCCTCACTGTAGTCCCTTGTTTGTTTTGGTCATGGTTTTCCGGAGGGCCTCGCAAAGAAACTCCAGCTGATGGTTTCTACTTCTTCTAATGATCCTCAGACCAATCTATCTGCCTGGCCTTAAAAGTACACTTGAGTCCCTCCTGTTTTTGATACCCAATTCTGGTTGTCCCTGGTTGGTGAGTAAACAAATCAGCTACTAGGAGGTGAACGAAAAGCTGGAGCAGTGCTTCAATCCTGGACTGGGGCCTGCGTCCCCAACCCTTTCAGTTGTGGCTAGAGCTTATAATGGAGGCTGTTAATGACGGGGAAGTGTGTTACACACGCCAGTGATACAGACACAGAGTGAAAAGCTTAAGCTTGATTGATCTGAAGAGGATGATAAGCCAGGATCATTTAAATTTTAAAAAAAGAAAAAGCACATAAGATTCTGAGTGTTCTGCTCTAGAAGTGACCTCTTCCACAGTTGCTGAAAGTGTAATTTTTGCCAGTGCACTTGCTAACATTTTTCATGTGGCCCACGTAATTGTTAGCTAGTGTGATGTGGCCTTGTTCTAAGGCACGGGCGTCTAGAATCACTCCTTTACGTGTTTGATTTCTGTCATGTTTGTAGCTGCGACTGATAGACTGGGGTCTGGCAGAGTTCTACCATCCTGCTCAGGAGTACAATGTCCGTGTAGCCTCGAGGTACTTCAAGGGCCCAGAGCTCCTTGTGGACTATCAGGTAAAACTCTTAGCCAAGCACCTCCGCCGCCTTTGTGTGTTTCCTTAGGACTTCTCATTTGCTGTTTAGTCAGTCAGTTTGGATATATTCAAAAGCCCAGCCTGAAGCGATAATTTCAGACTTTTCTCTGTGACTTTTTTTTTATTCCTTTGAATTCTAAAATATGTGCAAAGGTCAACTAAAGACTAGAAATCCAGATCAGAGAAACGCATTTGTAATACCCTTCACTGACAGGCTGACCTTATTTCCCCAGATGTATGATTACAGCTTGGACATGTGGAGTTTGGGCTGTATGTTAGCAAGCATGATCTTTCGAAAGGAGCCCTTCTTTCATGGACAGGACAATTACGACCAGGTGAGCAAACACTGACTGGCTCTTCCCCCATGTGGGGGCAGATGCCAAGAAAATGGAGTCCTATGACAGGGATGCTGTCCTCGAGCCACTAAATATCACTCGACGTCTGCACAGAAGTTTTCCTTCAGGATAAAGAGTTTCATGACATTTTGTCTGTGGTTACCAGGTCCCCAAATGTAGAGAAAGATAAAGCTCTCTTATGCCCAACTTCAGAGTGAGTCTGTGAGGAAGTCAGGCAGTCTTTGTCTAACAAAACCAGACTGTAGTCATTAGATTGTGATACCCCCACAATTGGTCAACTTCTGGGAGATTATTGTTGTAAGTTGTTACCATTTTAAAGGCAGTTTGGAAATTGGATTTCTGTGAACATCGTGTCCTGGGGTCTGCCGCCTGTCGGCCCCAGGCTCCAGCCTACATCTGGTCCCTGAGGACTCAGTGATGTGGAAGTCCTCGATGCCTTGGAATAGCATCCTCAACAGGCTTGCAGTGAGCTCTGTGCTCAGTGATTTGGTCAGTTTGTTTTGTGTTTCAGCTTGTTCGCATTGCCAAGGTTCTGGGTACAGATGAGCTGTATGGGTATCTGAAGAAGTATCACATAGACCTAGATCCGCACTTCAACGATATCCTGGGACAGTAAGTAAGAGAGAGGGCGAGAGAACGAGGGTTTTAGCATACCCCATTTCAGAAGTGTGACTGTTCACCAAAATCGCTTGCTAATCATAGCAAAATTAAAATCTCCTCCTTTCTTCCCGTATTTTTTTTTTTAACTTGCTTTGAGGTATTTGGGAATTGTTTACATGTGTCTTCTGATCATTGTACTTCTCTAAGAGATAACCTGTCAGTAGAAAACGGAAGACAAAATTCTGTTAGAGAAAAAAGCTTTCTGATACAGCATATGCTTATTTTAATGGAAAATCTTAGCTGTGATTCTTTTTTGAGTAAGAGATTTATAGTTTTTTCTTGTTCTGTGTAATGTATTTTCTACAAGGTAGCAAATTTTAAAGCCTATTTGCAGGTACAGTGCAATAGTGTTGATGCAATAGTGTTGAAAAGTAAATGCGCTGACAATTTTCAAACAGTGTTTTATGGAGCCTCTATGTTTCTGAGGCTAGCTCTCTAAATATTTCTGCTGAACAACAAAAATAACTCTGTCCCCTCTGTGCCTTGCCAGAATGGACTAAAAGCCTGAGGCATAAGAAGTGATTTAAGAAGGTGCCACAAATTCTAAATCAGATGTCGAAGTTTTCACTCCTTTTATTTATCAGTCTGAGAGCACGGTTTTTGTTTCAGGATGCTGCAAGTGGCCCTGTGGGGGTGGGGCAGATACCAGTGAGAAGGAGATTTAACAAGCTTGAAATCAGCGCAGTCAGTATTCTAAGATTTTGTTGCCTTTAGCCCTAGTAACATCAGGATTCTTGTTGAATAGACTCTCGGTACTAATGCTTCCCTTTCCTTCTCAGACATTCACGGAAACGCTGGGAAAACTTTATCCATAGTGAGAACAGACACCTCGTCAGCCCCGAGGCTCTAGATCTTCTGGACAAACTTCTGCGATACGACCATCAACAGAGACTGACTGCCAAAGAGGCCATGGAGCACCCGTACTTCTGTGAGTTTCCAGGGATGTAATTTATTAAAGGAAAAGTTCTTCTGTTCTTTATCTTTGAGGCCAGTCAAGAGAATTCTAGGTATTTGGATTGACTCTTCCTTGGAATTTGGCCTCATTAGTTCTAGACTGTTGAGACAGCTTTGCAGTTCCGTTTTTTGATCTGCAGAGGTGTTTGTCCACTGCCTTAGCTCCACTTGAGTCTGGTCTGCGGACCATTCCCTGTGGCCCTGAGCTGATAGATCACAAGTACCTAAACGTTGTTTTCAAATATATACGTCTGTGTGGAAACCTAATCAAAGATATTTTCCCCTCAAAAAACAAGTAGTTAGTTAAAAGTAATGAGGTGACCGTAGTATATATATGTTTTGTTTTTTTTTTTAAAGATTTTATTTATTTATTTGACAGAGAGAGACACAGCGAAAGAGAGAACACAAGCAGGGGGAGTGGGAGAGGGAGAAGCAGGCTTCCTGCGCAGCAGGGAGCCTGATGCGGGGCTCGATCCCAGGACCCTGGGATCATGACCTGAGTCGAAGGCAGATGCTTAACGACTGAGCCACTC